TCGCCATTCGCCACCACCATCACCATCTCCTCTCCTTCCATCCTAACCTACCGTCAGGGAATCACTCTTTCGAATTTTGCGCCACCGCCGACTGAAACCTTCTCTTTCAAACACCGATGTCGGCCGGAAACCTTCTAGCCTCCGGCATGATGCCGGAGTCGCTCTCTGCGTCCGGTAAGAGCTCCGAGAGGCTAAGCCTTCCGTTACTCCAATCCAAAATGAAGATTGACCCCGAAGGTTACACGACAGAGCTCGGTCTCATCTACAACCAATTCATCTCTGCTCTTGACCTGTTCAAGCAGCAGGCCGCTATCAGTTTCTCTTCCGGCGCCTGCGCCGACGCCAGCATCTCTAAGGAGCTCGGCGACCGCACTCTGTTCCTGGCTCACGTCGCGCCGTTCTACGCCAAGCAGCTCTCCCAGTTCCCCCGGCAGCTCGTCGAGTTCCTCAAGTCGTCGGCGCGGTCTCTACCGTTTGGATTGAGAGCCCACGTTACTCAAGCTCTTATTCTCCTCGTCAATCGACAGGTACGGTTTAATCGTCGGCGCCTGCTTTGATTTTAATTTGAATTTTTGTCGGTGAAATTTTTTGGTTGCAAAGTGCTTATTTTTGGACGCTACTCGATTTCCAGATGGTTGAAATTAGTGAGACTTTGGCATTGTTTATGGAGCTTCAAACTGTGGGAGATAGGAACTTGAGGAAATTGGCTTTCACCCATGTCATTCAAAGTATTAAGCGCATGAACAAGAAGCATAAGAATGAGACCAAGAATCGGGCTCTTCAAAATATCCTATTTACAATGTTACAGGTTCTTGCTCCTTCAATTCAAGCTGCTGATAATAGTTTGTATAATTGCTTGGAAGTAATTTTGTTATTGAGATTATGAGTTGTTCTTTCTTGGGTACCGGTGTTAACAGCAAGAGGATGAAGCATTGGCAAAAAGGGCGCTCAATACTCTGTGCGAGCTTCATAGGAGGAAGGTTTGGTTTGATGATAGAACAGCAAATGCAATTTGCATGGCTTGTTTCCATTCTTCATCAAGGTATGAACTTTAGTACATGTCTTTTTCTAGCAGCAGGGTGAAACATATAAATCGCTTTAGCCTTGATTGAATAATATATTAATATGGTTGTGCTTCGATCTATCAGAATAATGATTGCCGCTCTGTCGTTTGTACTGGATTATGAGAAGATTCAAGAGGATGACGACAGTGACTGCGACGATTTGAGCAGTGATGATGAGGCCAATCCCCAAAATGCTCATATTGTCATTAGTAAAGAGGCTGTTTATAAGGTGACTTGATGAATAGGTTATGATGATGTTGTGTGCTTTGGTTGAACTATCTACAATTAGTTTGTTATGACAAGATCATAGCTGAATTGTTTTGAGTTACATGACAGGCAAATCATTCAGGTACTTCAGCTAGTAAGAAGAAAAAGAAAGCAAAGCTGCAGCGTGCCATTCGTAGCATGAAAAGGCAGCAGCGGCTGTCTTCTGAGAAAAATAGTTCGACTTATTATTCACCACTTAACCATCTCAAGGATGCTCAGGTTATTGTTATCCCTTTGCCCTATGATTCTTGGAAATCTGTATGTTGGGTTAAATGGAAAATTTCTTTTCTTGTAGGGATTTGCCGAGAAACTTCTTTCTCGTCTTCAGACTTGCAATGAGCGTTTTGAGGTATTGTGTGAATCTTGTTTACATTTTTTTTTTTTTTTTTTTGGTATTGAGTAGTGGCGATAAAACATAAACTCCATTTTGCTGATGATATACTTCTGGCCCAGATTAAGATGATGTTGATGAAAGTTATTGCTCGTACTATTGGACTTCACCATTTGATTTTGCTGAACTTCTATCCTTTCCTACAGAGATATTGTCAGGTAAGAAACTTGACTGGTCCTTTATTGAAACCTTTCTGCCTTGTTCCGACGGCAAATGTTAACCTAACCGACTCTCTCTTCTGCAGCCACATCAGCGTGAAATCACAAACTTGCTTGCCACAGCTGTTCAGGCCTGTCATGATTTGGTAATGCAGTTATTACGTGGATGAGTAATCCAGAGAAAACTTGTCTTTGTTTCTTGGAATATCTGTCCTGTCTAAACTGTGCGAACACTTTGCCTTGCAGGTGCCTCCTGATGCGGTTGAACCTTTATTTAGACAAATTGTAAATCAGTTTATACACGATGGTTCCCGTCCAGAGGTATCATTTCTGAAAGCTGTGTTATTTGTTTAATTATCTCTTGTGAATTGGCTGCAGTAGTTTTCTAACTGGCTGTTGCTTGCTTCTTTAGGCAATTGCTGTTGGACTTAATGTCATCAGGGAAATATGTGTACGGATGCCTTTGGTAAGTGCTTTCCCCCTACCGAACATTCTATCTTGTTAGTATTTTTTGTGCTTGGATAGGCGCTATAAGAAGATAATACTAATGGAAATCAATTCTTTGTTTCTGGTGTGTAGTTGATGACTGAAGACTTGCTCCAGGATCTTGTGTTATACAAGAAAGAACATCAGAAGGCCGTTTCTGCTGCTGCTCGTTCACTCATGGTCTTGTTCAGAGAGGTATGAACTTCAGTGTGTTGATTGCTTTGGTAAGACGTAAGGAGGTACTTGTTTTAGAATTTTAGTAAAGTGAAGGAAAAATGTATTTGGTTGGGTTTTACTTTTTAGAAGGGTTGAGTTGATATTGATGAGGTGTTTCAGTAATAAAAAAGTGATTGATGAGATGATGGATAGTTTTTTTCTTCTTCTTGAATTGATAGATAGTTTGTTAATAAGAAAGAGATGGGTGAGTTTTGGGAAATACCTACTTTTAATACAACTGTGAAGATTTATTGTTTCAAGGACGCCAAGTGAGATTATATCAGTGAGGTGACTTCTAAAGGGTTCGTTTGGAGAACGGGATTTAGGGCATGGATTCATTGAATCCGTAGATTTTGTAGAAAGTTATGTTTTTTTGTTGCTTTTTGTATTGTGGATTTTAGTTTTAGAGATTTCAAATCTCTAAAATCTACGGATATCAAATCTCTCATAATCAGAGAGATTCTATATCTTGATTCGTGAGATTGTTTTCTTTTATTTTTTTCTCTTTCTTTTATTTATTTATCATATTAAATATATTTTAAAACAAACTTTTTAATATTTTTTGAACCACTCTAATTTTTATTGAGGATAAACATGTTCAATATAAAATCAAATTTTTTATTTTCATTGAATGTTAACAATCACAGTTACCAAACAATAAACATTTTCAAATCTATTTTCAACAATCCTAAAAGTTAGAATCTTTAGATTGTTGACTATCTATAGATTTAAACTCATTCTCCAAACGACCCCTATGTTCTAACTTCTAATAATTTGTGTCATTTAAGGTGAATAGTGGTTCTAGAATGTCAGATTGAAGACATTTTGTTTGTTTTAGCTTTCAAGTCCAATTTTGTAGAAGTTACTTATTTCCCCCGTCCTTCCTACTTTCGTCTACTTTTTGTAGGTCTGTCCTTCACTTTTGGTTAAAAAGGATAGAGGTCGACCAGTAAACCCAAAGGCAAGGCCAAAAGCATATGGAGAAAATCATGTTGCCTCTGCAGTTCCTGGAACCGAATTGCTAGAAGGTGATTATAATTCTGATAGTGATGATAAAACTGACGATGATAGAGATGACGAATCTCAATTCCATGGCTCTGAGGATGATGATGATGGTGTGCCGGCTGCAAGTGACGAAGAGGAAGAAAATGGTACGGAAGATGAGGATGGAGGAAGTGACGACGAAGATGATTTACTAGTCGGCTCAGATGATGGCGAGAGTGAGAACAGTGTGGATGAAAATGACAGCGATCTTAGCAATGATGAAGGAGATGAAAATAATAGTGATTATGAGAAAATGGATGATGCAAATGATGGTGCTGAAGTAAGCAATTCGAAGTCAAATAAGAGAAAGCGATCTGATGTGGATGAAAAACTACTTGTCTCTGGTGACTCGAGTCTCCGAGCTCTAAAAAGATTGGCAGAAGAGAAGTTTAAACCTCAACAGGACGAAGGAGAAGACGGTATTCTGTCTAATGAGGACTTCCGAAGGATTAAGCAACTGAAGGTATGTTCAAGGTTTAGATGAATGTAGATTGGAACTGAAATTTGATTCATAGCCCTCTTCCATATCTGCAAATCCTTGATGCTTTTTGTTGGACTTTCCAGGCCAAGGAGGCGGCGAAACGTGCTTTGGGTCAGCACGGCTTCAAGCAGCCAACCTCTGACCCGACAAAGCCTCTGGACCCTAGCAAGCTCGAGGCAAGACAAAACAAAACAAATCTAATTGATTCGATCTTGCATGAACTATTATGCAAGTGTGTTTAGATGTTAACAATCTTTGCTTCCTCTCTTCAATCAGGCTCACATCCGGCACAAGCTAAACAAGGAACAAAGACTTGCACTGGTGAAAGCCGGAAGGGAAGATAGGGTTAAGTACCAGTCTCGAACTGCTATAAAACAGAACAAGGTACGTATATGCCTGATCATTTTTTAGTTTTATTTCCTTTTTATAAATCCTAAATCTGCAAGTAATTATAATATGATTGGTTCTGGGAGCAGACTGGTGGCATGAGCAATCGACAGAAGGAGCACAAGAAGAAGATGCCTCTGGCTGCAAAGAGACACAAGATAGCCAAGTCTCGAGTGGAGAAGCGGAAGAAGGTCGATCGCCTCGGTAAACAGTTCCGCGGCAGGAAAGCATGGAAATGAGCACGACATGTGACAACAATCCTGAGTTTTGTTTCCCTTGCGAATTTTGGAAATTTTGGTTCCTCATTGCTATGAGCATCGACTATTTGTTACAAAAACAGAGTCTTAGTCTGGATGTCAATCTGTACAAGTATGTACCATGATCGTCATTCAGCATTTTGACAAGTAGGTACCATGACCTTCATTCCTAAACATTTTCAAATGATATCTACAAGAATGGTATGAAAAAAATATATCAAGGTATAGTGCCCGTGAGCGGCTAGTTTTGAATTGCTTATGATTGGGCATTTTCGGATGGGATTATATGCAGCCTATGCCTTTTGTCCGTATCCGTTCAGTTCATGTTCTATCCATTCTGATTTTCGTCATCCCTTCATACCTAAAATAGTTTTAACTTCATGTTGGATAGTCTGAAATAAATATCACTGAAATGGAATGGGGTCTGGACTGATTGTGGCAGACCAAGATTTCCCTCCTACCTGAATGTCCATGGGAAGTTGGGAACGCTACTACGGGCGCATTCTCGAGGTCAATTCACAGACAGACACCAAAGGGAAGGAAGATATGGAACATAAAAGAATAGCAAGAAAGCCAAAACGTGGAGCCTACAGCCTAATAAGTTACACACCATAACACAGCTGGTTCTGCTTAGTGCTTGCCTACTCTTCTTCTGCCGAAGAAGAGGACGAGGTTGAATCGACTGCAGTAGTGGTTTGGCCAAATATGTCCGGGATCCCATCCCAATCCTTCCTCTCTCTAGCTTCCCAGTACCCACCAGTGTAATGGTAACAACCCTCCTCGTCTCTCCGAAACCACCTCGGCTGCCATCCTCTTTCTTGCACCTTCCTTGCCTGCACTTACACGATAACAAAGCTTAAAACTTGGCCCATTCGCCTTCTTATACGCGCAACAACTTGGTTCAGGTGTGGACCGACTCGAACCAAAGCAAGATTTGCATTGAATCAACTTGGTTCAGGTGTGGACCTACTCGAACCAAAGCATGATTTGTATTATATCAACTTGGTTCAGGTGTGGACCAACTCGAACAAAAGCAAGATTTGCATTAAATCAACTTGGTTCAGGTGTGGACCGACTGGAACCAAAGCAAGATTCGCATTGAATGTGAACCGAATCGAAACTGAGAAAGAATGTGCTTTCTTCGATTACGATCCTCGATTTCCTTCTATTTTTTATCAGTTCTTATGTTGATACAGTCTGATCCTTGACCGGACCGACTATGCAGCGCGCTTAGCTTCATTGAGTGAGTCAATCATGGAAAGGAGTCAATCATGGAAAGGAGAATATACCTGTCTTTGTAACTGCTCAAGTCTCAGCTTTTCTGCATTTGCCAACTCGTACTCCCCGTTCTCGAGGAACCTTTGATCTGGCCGCAATCTAGAGTCAGTGGGTGGCAATTTGCCCGACAATCCAGGAGTGATCTCGTTTAAAGTTACGGCAAAGGGAGTGAGGTTGTATCTCGTTCTGGTGACTGATTTGTCTCTCTCCCATAGCAAGACGGCTTCCGTCATTGGGTCATAACCCTTTGGCTTCGTTGTCGGATCTCCCAGCACATAGTACATCGCTTCGTCCCACTTCCCAACCAGCATTGCCACCTTCTGTCCAGTCCTATTGTCCTGTACAAATCCATGAACCTGCAAGGACAAGGAGAAAACACATATGTTTCCATGTGAGATCACTGTGTTTGGCGCAATTTTTTCCCAGGAGTTTTCTGGTTTCAAAAACCACAAGACAGGCCAAACATTGGAGCTAGTCGAGATTCTCAAAAGCTCTAAACAGAACCTCAATAGTTGTTGTAGTTGTTTGTTCGCAGATATGAGGATTACCTGGTGGGGATTTCGATCTATGATTGACTGCTCCTTGAACTTCAGTCTGCAGGAGTAGGTGCCACTGCCTTTGATTCGCATGGTGCCGTAGTGATCACAGTACAGTTTGCCTAGAATGATGTTGTATATAGACGTCGTCACTTTGCTCCATTGGAAGGTCTCACCGTCTTCAAATCGAAGAGTGAGAATGCCGACGGGATCGAGTTGAATAGACCTCCCCCAAAATTTGCCCTTGAGATTGGAGTCTCCCCAGAATGTCCACCCTCTTCCCTCACAGTGGCAGGCGACAACCATTGGGTGGTGACTGACCTGAATACAACAAACAGCTCATCAACCTATTTCCCTGGTGCTGAAATAGAGATGGCGTAGTTGTCATCTACTTGCAGGACAATGCAATACAATGAGGTCGTTTGACAGATGGATTTCTAGTGCTGAATTATGCCCAAAATCCAGAGTGGGTGGATTATTATTAAATCAATTGTTTGGCTCACCAAAATACAATAAAGCACTTTATCCATTTGTAAATCATAACCCACCACCTAAAATTGGGAAGTCCATCAGACCACTTAAACCATGTTATCCTTTTTTAATATTACAAGAGATGACATATTGATACTTCACATTTAATTATGAATCCCACCCACACTACACTTACAACAGTCCCCTCAAATAATTTATCAACCCTATAGATTTCTACAACTATTATTACTGAATCAATCAGCCAAAAAACCCATGATTCCAAGATGCTGAATGTGATTAAGTATACCATGGATTAGGTAAGGTATGGATATGCGAGAAGCAGACCTTTTCAGAAAAGAAACGCAGGCCTTTATCTGGATAATCGGCTTCGTAAGTCTCTCCAAGTAGAGGGTTGAACGGCTTACATTGGCGGCCTTCCGTTGAGGCATACCCAGATACAGCAAAAGCCGCAATATTCAGAATTCTCATCAGGTCATTCCCCTGGACAGCATAAAGCCCATGTAAATATGAACTGAAAAGTAATGAGTCTTAGATGATGCACGGTAATCAAGCTGTTAGACGAAAGCAAAAGCTAAGCAAATCCTGACCTGCTTTCCCCATTCCAATGCTTGATCGACCAAATGTGAGTACTCCAAATCCTCAAAGCACTTCTGGAGGGAGGATATTGGTTCATTAAAATATACAGGAAGACAAACTCCAGACAAGTCCTTCCCGATGTTGTCCTTGATAATGGACCACAGGCCAACGGGCTTCTCTTTCTCCTTTGGTTCCGGCAAATTGTCTCGTCTCTTAACCAATGGATATTCAGTTGTCACAATATTATCCTTCTGAATGTGTTGCAAGCGATCAGAGCAAAAAACGTCCTTGTCATGTATACATGCACTCCCCACTGAATCCCTAGTACTCCTATACGAAGTGCTTCTCATTAGAGCATCAGCAGACAAGAAATCGTTTGTGTCAAAGAACTTCCTGTCTTCTTCATCAGTTTCAGCACCCATCCCATCTTCTTGACTTTCGTTGTCAGCATCCGAGTCACTAGCACTGCCTTCTGACATCACCGAATAGAAATCTAAGACAAAGAGGGAAACATATGAATATCAGCATATATTTTACACTTTTGAAGATGAGCCTCCAGGAGGACTTTTACCATGCAGAAATAAAGAAACTAAATACTGAATATGAAAACAGAGCTCTAATGCTAGGCACATGTGTCCTCGTTCCGTGTTTTGTAGCACCGTGTATCGCAGACATGAATTTTAAGAAGATACACATATTGTAGATGTGAATACAAGGATGTGTGAAATGTCTAGAATACGGTGTTTAGTTTGTTGGATTCCAATGGTCAACCCCACACAATTGGATGTATTGCTGAAATCTTCAATTCCAAAATAATTCATATTGTGTATTCTGAAAATAGATATGGCTGAAAAACATGGGTTTCGTACCATATTCAAACAAGAAACAATGACTTCGTCAGAAACTATGTAGTCACTTAATCACCAAGAACAACTGCTGGTTACCAAGCAAGGTTGATTACAGTGATGTCAGCTTATAACAGATTCGAACCTTTCACATTTACATGCAACCTAACTAAGGGAACCATCAACAAGCTTCACATACAAGTAGCAATAACAGAATGGTCAAAGGGGCCTTCGTTCAACATCAACTATTACACAAATATAGACAATCAATTCCGATATCGTAAGAAATAGTAAGGTATAACATGGCAATGCTAAAGATCAAGAAGCATACAACTGACCACTGAATCTTCTGTTTGCTTGTCCACAATATGACTCCCGCTCTTTTGTCTCGTCCACTACTGTAGTTTCCAACTCTATTTTCTCTGTCTGTTAAGCAAAGCACAGGAGACCAAATCATGTTCAAGCAAGAGACGAAAAAGAAAAGGCATTAGGCAATGTTCAAAATTGAGGGCACCGAACCTCTAATTGCCTTAAGGTATCCAAAAGAATGGCATGTTTCCTTTGCAGAGACCTCATCTGGTTTTGAAGCTCGTCCAGCTCGGAGAGCATAATAGCCTCACAGTCTTTAACAACCACTTCACCAACTCCTTCCTGCAGCAACCGTGATCTCAGCTTCTCAGTCGAGACAACTACATCTTCAGCCGAGGAGAAGTCAGTGCTGGTCAACACCCTAGGGAACCGATCCTTAGCTGTGTGCAAAGCATCGAGCCATGCAGCTCTATCATCTCTTGTGATGCAGCGCAAGTGAAGTGTCTTTGTTCCAGAGAATATCGTCAGCCTTTTGTCATCGGACTTACTGGCTCGTACGGAAGAAACCTACAACCCAAAATAAGTCCATAGAGAAAGAGAGAACTCAGCAAGCTGAAGCCATGAAACACGTATGACTAACACTCTAGCAGTATCCACTGCAAGAAAAAAAATCTAAACTTTCCTTCTGAGATCAGCAAATTGCTGCACATTTGATCTACCCTTTTATGTTCTCCTACAATGGCTTCCAACAGAGGAGTTCTCAACCTTCTAAACCATTTCACTAAGTTCCAAGTGCAGCAAGTAGACAAAGAAAAGAAGCGGTGAAAAGCCAGGGGGAAATCCGAAAATGACAATGGAGAAGGAACAAGAACAAGTATTATTTTTCTCAATAAATGTACCTTCAAATGGATTTCGCCGAACGGCTTCCACTGCCTGGAAGCCAAAGCAAGGAACCGATTGCTGCTGCTGCTTCTATTCCAATTCGCTTTCCTGACAAACCTCAACGATTCCTCTCCGATCACCTGAACGCCTTTCCCCCTCCCGGAGCCAATCGAAATCTTGTCAGGGCCGTGAACTTTATAGTAAGACAACACGCCGTCTTCGAGAACGAACCACCGCGACCTCCACCCTTTCCCGTAATTGACCCATTTGTACAAAATCCCCGCCACCGCGCCGACATTGTTCCCCTTCAAATCGATCGATTCCTCCCCGTCACGGCAAGCAGCAGCAGAAGCCGAGAGCCGGTCGAAGTCAGTGCCGGCGGAGGAGACCTGAGCTGAGAAACTCGGCTTCGAGGCGTGACTGACAGTATTGCCGGAAAGGGGGAAATCAGCTGCGAGATGGGAGTGGTGGTGGGCCGCGGATTTGGCGGCAATAGGGTTGGCCCGATCTCGATCGACGGAAACGGGAGCAATGCAGCAGAGAGGGTTCATCGTTTCCCCGTCTTGGGATTTTTCCCCCCACCACAGATTCACGAAATTGGGCGTTATGGAGGGAGAGAGAGCTCCGGCGGAAAAGGCATGAGGAGAATGAGATCGCCGGAGGGAGGAGGAAAAGGTGGGGGGAGGGGAAGTTAGATGGTGATAATGGCGGAGGTGGTGGTGGAGCAGAGCGCACTGAGATCCATTTTAATGGTTGGCAGTGGGAGCAGTGATGGCAGAGAGAGGAGAGGAGAGAGGAAGAGCAGAGTAGAGTTTCTAGAGTACAGAGTAGAGGAGGAGAAGTGGGCAATGGTTCGGTCTGATGTCAGACTGAACCATTGTGACCGAGTTTCGGTTCGACCGGTTGTTACTTTTTTTGTTTACGTTTTTTTTACACGAAAAAAAAAATTAAAATGAAATTTTAGGTTTCGTGATAATCTAATTGTAACAGCAAAACATCACTGAATTGTATCGATCGGTTTAGGGTTGACAACAAAATTTGTTCAGTTTTCACATAATTTTGTTCTCGAAATATTGACATCGCAGATTTCACTAGTTTAAACCATGTCTTATCTTGCGTATGGATGGAAATAAAAAATTTTTGCAGCCAAGAACATAAATAATACAACTTATTTTATGGACGGTCATAGCATATACAAAATTAGCGTTAATCTTAACAATATTTTATTATGCTTTTAACAATATAACTACACCGTACACAACCAATTGAAGACAGATAAACCATTAAAAAAACATTTCAGCACAAACTCATTTGATAAACTATTGAATGTGGTTCTATTCTACGAATAATGGTTTTATCAACACCGTAGCAAATGAATCGAGTTCGGTTTGGTTCGAGTGTGGAAAGAAGTTAATTGATTTTGGGTGAGAGGAGAAGAGTGGGGGGAGGGAGACAGCTAACGTGCGCATTATTATTTGTTGATTGTGAGAGGTGGAGGGGTAATGGGGATTGGAGGAAGGCAGGAGTGGGATCATCGGTTATTGTTTTGGTCGGGTTACAAGAAGAAGTAAGTAGGTTTATGCAAGAAACAACATAAGAGACGGGAAAAATAGATGAATTTGACTTAGTTTTTTTCCACGTAATTGAAGTGAAAAATGGAATTAGAACAAATTGAACCGTTGATTATCAATGTATCGATTTAGTTTGATGTAAAGTGAATTGCCACTTGACTCGAATTGGAATGGTTTTTTTTTTAAAGAAGTCGAATTGGAATGTTGAACGGATTATAACAAGAATGGATGGCGTGATTACTAATTAGGGAATTATGAGGGTTTTTTTGACAGGAAAAGAGTTGTTGGTTGAGATCAAGGTTGTCAAACCAGTTTAAGTCATTGAGTCGGTCAAGCAAAGGATTTGAGGTTTAATGGTCTGATCGGGGTTCGGCCGTTTTGAGCCGTTTTAGACGTTTTCTAAATATATATACAAATAAAATAGTAATTAAAGATTTAATGACTGAAATAAAATTTACCTTCCATATATCTATTAGAAATTTATTTTCCACAAAATAAATATATCTAACCTCCATGATCCGCCTACCATTTTCCTTCCTTCGTTCCTCTTCCTCTCTTCCCCCACTCTTCTTCTCCTTCTTTAGGAGTCAGACTGAGTGGCTTTCTGGAAACCGTATTGAAGCCCGACTCGGGTCGGACTGGGTCTAACCGGGAGTTCGATAGGGGTTTAACAACTTTGGTTGAGATCAAAGATTTAAAAACTGTACGGTAGTTGCGATTCGAACAGAAAATCGTCATATATCAAAGACTAAATGGGTAGTCGCCAGTCGGTATTTAATAGTATAAAATATTCGAACCATAATTTCAGCATAAAATAATTTATCGCTAACTTTTCCCGTGCAAGGTTTGACCATACTTGTTGAGATTTTTTTTAGGCAAAATACACCTGTATAGCCATAACTTTCACTTTTGACAAATATAGCCATTTCTATTCGAAAACCAAAAATAGACAATTCCGTCCATCTATTTAACGGTGTTACTTAACAATCTGACTGTACTGACGGAATATGCTGAGTTGCCGATTTATGGTCCCCACCAAGCCGATGTGGATTAACAAAAAAATTAAAATATAAAAAATCATTATTTATGTCATAATTTAGTTTAAAAAAATTGCAACCCTAGCTTCGCCCCCAGTTCAAACTCCACCCGAACTTCTCCACCCTAGCTTCTCGATGCTCTCCACCACCACTGCCGCCACTCTCCCCTCCTCCTTTCTTCTATCTAATTCTAACCCCACATCTCCCGATATCCTTCACCAATGGCGGCCACAACCTCCAACCTCTTACTATGTCTATTCCTCTCCCTCGCCATTTCCCTCGCCCACGCCTCCAACCCCGACCTCGGCGGATTCTCCACAACTCTCCGCCCCGAGAAACTGGGACTCCACGGGAAGGAAAAGCTGACCCACCTCAGGTTCTACTTCCACGACATCGTCAGCGGCCGCAATCCCACCGCCGTCCCCATCGCACGTGCCGCCATGACCAACACCTCCCGCTCGCTTTTCGGGCTGGTCAACATGATGGACGACCCGCTGACCGTGGGCCCCAAACCCGCACTTCCTCCGCCAAGCCCCTCTCCACCGCAGCCGCCACCGACCCACATAACCACCACCATTTGCCTCACTCCCCCAGCTCCAACTCCAACTCGTCTCCGTCACTCCAGCGCTCGCTCACTTCCGCCGCGGCCAGCAAGACGAAGAAAGCTCTCGGATTGAAATCCCCCGGGTCCGGGTCCAAGAAGATCTCCGGGTCCGGATCTGGCTCTGGTCAGGGCAAGTCGAAGAAGCCATTGACGATCGGCGAGCTGATGAGGATTCAAATGCGGGTGCCGGAGGCCGACGATTCGAGGGTTCGGAGAGTTCTTCTGCGGATTTCCGCTGGTCAAGTCAGCTTTTTGTTTTTCAATTGCAGGGTAGATCTATGTTTGACTTGAGTTCTCGCTTCAATTTTTCTCCATTTCTGGATTCTAAATTGGCCACCGTCGTCGTGGCAATGCAAATTGGACAGCTTGGCCGGCGAATCGAGACAGTGGTGCTACCGCTGGAGAGGTGGTTGGGAGAGGAGAGGGAAAGGAGGAGGAAGAGGAAGCGAAGAGAGAGAAAGGGATTTGGGCAGAAGATTGTTGCGGGGGAGGAGAGCTAGAAAAAATATTTTATTTTGTAATTTCAAAATTAATTATTATTGTAATTCAAAATGACATGGGAATGATTTGATGATTGGTCGCTAACGTGTTCGACGATTTGGCATCCTAGTCAGCCTAACGTTAATCTAACTGACGGAGTTTCTAACACCGTTAAAGTTTCTAACGGATTTGGCTAGATTTGTCACACTACCTTTAGTTTTTTGGGATATTTTTGGTTTTCGAATAATTATGGATATATTTGTCACAAACGTGAAAGTTATGACTATACAAGTGTATTTGTCCTTTTTTTTAATTTTATTTTGATGCGTTAGGAAGTTGGGGTTTTGTCGCATTTCAAGGTTTAAGGGCCGACCCTCCATTTAATTGGATCATAAATGCTTTCGCAGGCTTTCAGGTTTCTTGGGCTCTGTGGATCCAAGGTACACCAATAAGGCCTTCCGTTCACTTTTCTTGCCTCAATTGTTGTTTCTAGCTGACGTATGGTTAATGAATAATTGTGAGTGAACAAGGCTGCCAAGACAAACTTTTCTGCCGGTGAGGTTATTTTGTCAACGCAACTGGGTGCTTAAATATGCGATTATGCAGCTGGCCCAACAACATGCTGCTTACTCTTTCCGCTGGGTTGAGTTGCCCAAATTCAATTCAGTGAATATCTATTAAAAAAATTGAGAAAATATTTATTGAGTTTTAGAATAACAAATCCAACTCAATAGCAATAGGTACTCATGGATGATGGATTCACAAACATAAGTACACAACTATATACTAGAATTAAGCCCGCCCGTTGACCGGATAAATTACATCAATAGTATAATAATTACCCGAATCCAGTGGCGGAGGCAGGCCTTTTGGCCCTTGTTCCGGGACAGGGGTAAATTTCAGGAGAACAAAAATACGCCATATATATTTATGTTGGTGATGGAACACAACATATATAGGTAGTATTAGAGTATTTTGTCACTACAACACAACTCATTTTTTGTTCAAAAGTGAACATAAAATTAATTTAGTATACTATAAACGAAATTCCAATTGCAACAAAGACCTAATTAGATCTCTTTTTTCCTTATGCCTATTCGATCTTTTCCCTACAACCCTTAAATTGTCTAGCGACAACGGCAATTTCACTAGTTTTGATTCTACCAATTACAACTACAAGTGTAAAAAGAGACTTATTTAATAGTGTATACAACAAATATTTTTGCGTTTCTTTCACAATATGAAATCCCTTCATCGTTATTTCTGAAAACTATGATTGTATAGTCTGTTATTTTTAATCTATAAATGAATTATTTTGAAATAAATAATTTTAATTATTTTTTATTAAATATTCTTAATTAGATATTTATATATTTAAGCTATAAAAAGAGGACATGATGGTTTAAAATGCTGCCTCCGCCACTGCCCGAATCATTTATTTGATACCATGAAAGAATCCAAACTATTCAATTATTAAAAATATAAATAAAAAACTACATACATTATAATTTTTACAATCATTAATGGACAAAAGTCCTTATAAATGTAAACAACACAACTTATGCATGAAGTTGATTTCTAAAAAACTTTATATTCAAAACGCTGTATAATTTACTCTTTGCTATTAAAAATTACAGCAAATTCTCTTTTATATATTTTTTTATATTGTCCGCCATCAAGAGCATCTTCTCCACACAACTTAATATTCACCATCAATAGTCTCTTCTTTCTTCTGTTGCGTTTCATTAATAACCAATTTTTAATAGTAAAAGTTTGGTAATGTGAAACATCTTTTCACGTTAGTATAATTTCACCTCATACAACATCTCTCACTCTTGATATTAGCATACTCTTCCTTCTTCTCTTACATTTCACTTAATGTCAAAGTTTAATGGAAAAAAAATTTGTACTGTGAAAAATTCCATTTTCACAAACTTAAATTTACCTAATACATGTCATGAACTTTGTCTGAGATAGCTCTACTTGATCCTTCATTACCCTCAAAACTATGTACCCACATATATAGTTCGCAATGTTGTAATCAGGGGCTTGATCTAAAATTTAACTTCATGCTCTCGGTTTGTATGTGATGAAGAGGTGACAGTTCTCTCATTTTGTCATTATCTTTGATCAGTTTCTCAATAGACATTCAAAAAATTATAGCTTCCTCACTATATAGAATAATGAAGTTATATTAAACAAATATTGTATACAACTCACAGCTAATCCTGAATATATAAAATAAAAATAATTGAGATACATTATTTGGTAAAATAACTTTATGTTTTAGTGGGTGCGTTATTTTTATCTATAATGAATGAACTTGAAGTTAAAA